ATCATGAGTCTATGAGCCGGGTTGCCTCTCCACACACATGCTTGTGGTTGGCCGCAAAATGCACCCTTGTCATGTGTCTTAATTGTGTGCATATCCATGCACAGGTCTCGGAATGGATCTGCACTTATATCATGTGTCTATTATATGAGGGTACATAATTACACAGGTCTGTGTATGAATATGTATATATGTCATATGTATAGTATGCATTATATACTTATATAGACATATATAATATCTATACTTATATAGTATGTATATTATATATGTGTATATCCATACATGTCAGGTTTGAATATATATATATTTATTTTATATACTCGTGTCTGTGTATGGATATGTGTATATATGTGTATATATATATATAATATGTGTATCATATAATATTTGTGTATGTATACATATATAATATAGTATATATGTATACTATGTATATTTTATGTGTGTATCTCTATGTGCATGTCATTGCATGGATATATATATAAAAATATAACATATATTATATATACACATGTCTGTGCATGGATATGTATATATTCAATATGTATATTATATAATAGATATGTATTGTTTAATATAGAGGCATATAATATGTATATTATATATGTGTATATCATATATATTATATATACACATGTCTGTGTATAGATATTATATATATAATGTGTATATCATCTAATATATGCATGCATATATAGTATAAAATATATATATATATAATATCTACATATATAATATGATATACATACATATAAAATATGTATATTCTATTGGTGTACATCCATCCCCAGGCCTGTCTTACTGAGACCTCAGCTCATACTGGGGACCAATCATCTTTTCTGTTTGTTTGTTTCAGTATAGGTAGAGTTATTTAGAGATCCATCAAGAGGCACGAGAAAGGCCATGAGGTGTGGGGGTTGGGTGCCCAGAGTTGAGTAAAAGTAGGCACACATTCCTTAGACAGTGTGGCCATGTCCGAAGAGGGAGAGAGAGGGGGCTGCAGCCTTGGGACTGTCTTGGCACCTGTGGGCATGTTATTCACCTTGCTAACATGTTACAATGGTTGTATAATAGAAGTCAAGATCTACTAGAAGTCAAATCTCCCACCATTTTGAGACTCAAGGCCTGCTGGGAGTTGAATCTTTCACCATTCTGGTGTTAATTACTGTGTTATTCTTTGAATGTCTGTGCCCTGCCCCCTTCCTGTCTTATTCCCCCCTCAGAGATTTTACTCCCATCATCTTTTTATGGGGTTGTAAAGGGATGATGGTCCGCCTTCTGAAACGACTTCAGGCTGGGTAGGGGTGTAGATTCTGCGTATCAGGGAGTAAAAAATCTCTGAATGGCCTGATCTAGGGGCCCCAGGGGCAGGACAGCCTTTTGTTTTTGTGTCCAGCGTGCTGCGGGTATGGGCCATCATTTCATGTGGGACTATTGTAACCCACTGTTTTCACTGACTTCTGATGAATTTTTTTTAAAGATGAATCACCTTTGTAACAACTTAACAGTCTGTAACAACAAAAAGACTTAAAAGGCATGGTTAAACATCTGTAATTGATACAGATTTGTTTGTAATTACTAGAATTATGACTGATTATATTTAACTTAACATATTAAATCATCCTAATATCTGAGATGTGTCAGGTTTTCTATAAACCATCTTATAGCTGGGGCTACAGAGAACTTTTTGAATTTGTTAGATATTTAAAATCCTCATTATGTATGAAACCTTTTTCTTTTTTTCATAGTTTTTTTTTTAATGAAACTCTTACTGAAAACATACATCTTACTTTCCTACTGTATATGAAATACTTATTTTGGGAGCTTTAATTACATATATTATCATTTTAACCCTCAAAAACCTTAAATCTCTGGTAAAAACCAAGAAGCAAGCAATAGTGAACTGGTTGTCATATCACCGTTTCCTCACTGGAAACTTATGTTTTTGTTTTTTTCTTTCCTAAAGCTAAGGTAGATAAACTTAGATCTTCCCAGTAATTAATGTTTTAATATTTTATAAATGACACAGATAGTCAGTGAACTTTTTAACTTAGTTTTAAGTTTTAAGTACCAGAATTTGGAGAGACACTTTTAGGTAGATATTTTCAAAAGAAAACTCCTATAGAGTTTACCCCAAATCTCTTTTTTGGTTTACTTTTGGAAGTTCTTTTATATTGTTACCTTTTTTGTTGACAAATTTGTAACAGGTATAATAAAGTTTTGCTTGACCTCTAGGAAGCCTAGGCACAACTGAACTATTATACTTAGCACTGATGTCTCTAAAGGCATGTTTGTATTAATTAAACCAACAAGCTTAAGCTAGCTTCAATACCAATACCAGTACTGAATCTTTTTAGATAATGTGAACCTGAAATTTATTTTAGCCAATTTTCCCTATGTTTGAGTATTTATGTAAGTACATAATTTCCTTTCAGCTAATTAAAGAGCTCTTTTACCATGTAATTTTGCCAATATTTAATTTTGTCATTAATTTAACCATTTAATTTTGCCAATGAGTAGGATGTAATTAGGGCTGTCATCGCCCTCTACATCCCAAAGACTTGGGGTCCTATGACTAGAGGGGGGAATGTTAAGCGATTTAGATAGAAATGAGCCCTGGGACAGGAAGGGAAAAGGAACAACCCAGCACACAAGGAACCTGAGCTCCCAATCAACCAGGGCGCAAGGAACCTGAGTTGTAAATCAATCAATCAATCCCTAGGCCTAGGGGTGGAGGTGCACCCTGTGTCATGTGTCTATGAGTCGGGGTACCCCTCCAGCCCCAGGCCTGGGGGTGGAGGCACACCCCATGTCATGTGTCTGAGAACGAGTGCCCCTCCACACAGAGGCCTGGGGGTGGAGGCAAAGTGTACTCACATCACGTGTCTGTTAACCGGGTGCACATTTATACACAGATCTGGGTATGGATGTGCATCTATATCATGTGTCTATTATATGGGTGCACATAAATACACAGGTCTGTGTATGGACATGTATATATATAATTTGTATATTATGTAATATATGTACATATACATACAATATATACATGTATGTATATTACATGTGTATATCCATACACATCAGTGTATGAATATCTATATTGTATGTATTATATATACACGTCTGTAATAAAGAAAATTATTGAAGGTATTACAAATTCACTGTTCTAGAATAAAAGACTTAAGAGATACCAAAATGCAATGTGAAGACTTCTTTTGGATCTTTTGAGGAGAACCAAGTATTAATGACATCTTAGACTTAACTAGAGAAATTTGAATATGAGATATGAAGGAATTTTAAGTGTGACAATGGTGACTAAGTTAAAAATCCTTATCAGTTTTAGATGCTGATTAATTTAAGGGTGACCAATGTCTGGGGTTTGTTTTAAAATACTCAAGCAAAAAACGGGTTAGGAGAGGAGTCAAACTGGATTGGTAAAATGTTGATAATTGTTGATTCTTGGTGCTGGTTAATGAGGGCTCATTACCAAAAGTGGATTCACTTTTGCCTATGTTAAAAATTTTCCGTAGAAATTTTATGAAGCAGAATCAGTGCATACTACACCACATCACATACAGCTGATTTAAAGCCCAGCGGCAGCAGCAGGAGGATCAGCAGTTATTACCCAACCCACCCCAAACGCAGATACCCGGGGCCAGAGCTCCTAGTATGCCTAAGCCCAAGGTTAGAGCGCGATTCTCAGCTCCAAGAACAAGTCCTGTGGAAACGGGATGTCTGAAATGAAAGCCCGGAACTATTCTAGAAGGTTCTGAGATTTCCCAAGGAGTTTCTAAGGAGGCGACGGAGTGTTACTAACAAACTGCTTCTGGATTTGAGCAGCAGCCGTTTCCCCAGTCTGCGGCCAAATGGCGTTGACCTTGGGTGGGCGTCCTAAAACTCGCGGCTAGGTGTCAGAAGCATAGTGGGAAGTGAGGCTGTCCCTCCCAGCCCCACTCTTCCCTCTCCGATCCCCTCCCTAGGCCTGCCCTTCTGGTCCACCTTCCTGCCTTCCCCTTCCCTTCCCCCACCCCTCAAAGCTCCTGGGATCTGCGGTTTCCAGTCCTTCCGCTCCTGCGCCTCCCCCCAACGCTTACTATCGTCATCGCGCTCCTCCCCTCCCACGCCAGCCCCGCCCCTCCCTGCACGAGCCCCGCCCCGTACGTTCACCTAGCCCCTCCTCTCCCGCTCCTCGCCCCGCCCCCCTCCTGTCGTCACCCGGCTCCTCCTCTCCC